CAGTACAATGTTATATTAAATTTTCAATTTTTTCCTGCAGACATCCACACATGCAGTAAATATTTGTTAGATAAGCTGATGAGTAAGTAAGATAGGGTTGTTGATTAACCTAGGGATGTTGCAGGCCCCAAACTGGGCACTCCCACTGCTATTCTGGTATAGAATTTTACTGGAAGAAAATACTACTATCAGATCTTTCAATAGAAAAGAAAAGGATTCCTTAACTGAAATAACTTGGTGATTTTTCTTGTAACGGCCCCCTGCAGTTTGGAGGAACACATGTTTCATATAATTAACAGGACTTTATTTTTAGGGATGTCATTTGAGCGACAAGCAGAACAATGTCTCCATTTCCTTCAATCCGAATCCTCAGAGGCCACTAGAACTCCTAGGGCTTCGCAGTGTTCATTCGCACAGGTGAATAGGTCTATAATTTGTCATTTACCTCAGCTTTCAGCATCTGTAAGGATCAGGAAGAAAAAAATTACAGCTTTTATCTCCAGTTGAATCCAGCATTTAAGGAGCTCCTGTCACTATGCAGCCTTCTGGCTTTATTGAGACATCTGTTGCTAAGACACAGGCTTAATTTGTTTGCACACTCTTCATAAGAATGGTGGCTGTTTATTCACACAGAAAACTGAGGTGTAAGAGAGAAAGGTTGGTTCAGGATTAAATCTTAAACAGTTATTTTGTTCGTTTCACTAGAGAAGAGGTTTTGAAAGTGTGGTCCTCCCACCAGGGCCATCAGTCTCACATGGGAGCTTATCAGAAATACAGACTCTTGGGCCTGCCTGACAAATAACTGCATCACAGAAATGTTGGGATTTAGCTCAGCAGTCTGTCTCACTAAGTCCTGCGGTTATCCACATACCCATTAATACATGAGACCCATTGCTAGGGAGCTGAGGCTAGAGCATCATTTATCAGTGGGACGGTGAAAGTCAAATTCACTGTTGGGAGGTGCACGTGGCATCCAATTCCCTCCTCCCAAGGTCCGTGCCACAGCCTGAGAAAAAAATTCTCCAAACCCCGATTTGAAGAATCTTGACGATTTTATTGGACTTGTTAACTGAGCTTAGGGTGTGGGCTTACTTACAGACAAGCACCCCCGCCCCCATTCACAGCTGATGCTGAAAGTCCACAACCAGACATAAATTTTATGGTTCCGGACAGCCTTACAAAATGGCGAGAGACCAGCCTCGAAGTTTTCCCAGCTTTTATACCCTTAGGCCCTCCACTGTAAGCAGCTATAGTCAACCAATTGGCTGGAAGAGGGAAGGGGAGTGGCTTCTTTGCAGAGTGTGGGAAGGAGGTGGGTCCATGGCTTGTCATCGCAGGGTCAGAGGAACATCTTCTGGGTCACAGATGGTAAAAGGAGAAACTATTTTTCCTTTGCTGAAAAATCATGAGATAGGCATACCTAGGGTAGCTGTTTTGAAAGAGTATGCCCATTTTCTTTAAAGCCCACCATAACTATCCTATGTCCTTCCCCTAACTAAGATCAGATATGAGCACAGCATTAGAAGATAAGTACACACCATAACTAGGGGGGAAATAGCTTAAAAACCAAAATAATCACTAGAATTTTCTTTGAAATGGGAAATACACATAGGAATGGAGTCTAAGGGTGATTAATAAGGACAGAACATACTGCTAGATTTGGGCTGAGATCATTAACAAGAGTACATAATCTAGCCAGGTATGATGGCACATGCCTCTAATTTCACCCCTCATGAGGTAGAGGCAGGTGGCTCTCTATGAGTTTAGGGGAAGCTTGGTCTACATAGTGAGTTCCAGGTCAGGAGGGGCTTTAGGGAGATCCTGTCGCAAAAAGACCATAAAAAAAAAAAAAAGAGTCCATGATCTAGAGGTAGTCAGCCTGAATAACTAGTCGTGATCTAATAGCTTAATTGACTGCTTGACTAACCCCTTTGCTTAAGAACTACCCAATTTAGCAGATGAAGACATTAAAGCTTCCTAAGTAGAAGGTGAAATGCATTTCCAAAGACTTAAGAGGGTAAGGTGCATACTAGATTTATCTTGTGAGATCCACACCCACCTCCTGTCTATGAGAAGAGACATTTACTAAGGCAGTGAGAATGCATTAGTGGAGGAGCATCTTCATTCCTGCAAAATGCTGAAGTCTGTCTGCATTGAAGGCCAAGTCTATAGGGGACACCACCATTGATACAGGGTGGAGAGTATGGATCCTAGAGTTGCAGAGCTCATAGAGTAGTGTTTAAGCACTAACATGGACATGGGCCCAGCAGCCCTCAGAGTCTTTTGTAGATCTGACACTTTCCATCTATAAACTAATATTGCTACTTCATGTTTCTTTTGCTTAGGTTTTGCATACTATACAAATTTTATAGACTTTTCTTTTAGACACAGGGTGTCATGTGGTCCAGGCTAGCCTCAAACTCACTATGGCGTTCAAGAATGACCTTGAACTCCTGATCCATTTGGATCCACATCTCTAGTGTTGGGATTATAGATGTGTTACCACACCTCACCATATATTTACTTTTAAATTACGTTTTTGTATTTAAAATGGATGTCTTTGGGGGCCGAATATATTTAAAGTTGCTCATTTATCTAATCTGACATTGTCTCTTAGTGTATATTTAACCATTTGCATTATTTATATGTTTGTACTGAAATCTACCATCGTGTTAGATATTTTATATTTACTTAATCTGTTTTTAGAGCCTCCATTCTTGTTTGATCTGTCTTGTATTCACTGACCACTCCGTAAGTCCACTTTATCTTTTCAACTGAATTTTTATTTATGCTCCTTGAAATAATTTAATGTTTTCTCTGTTGTTTATAGTATCCATCTTTAAGGAATCAGAACCTTCCTTCACTTAATATATTTCATCATATACATTATGAAAACCTTATAAAAGTATATCTCCATTTATTTCCCCTGTATTTTATGATGCTGTGCTGGCACATTTACTTTTACCTGTGTTGCTACACTGCTACCATTTTGCAGTGGAGTATCATTTACATTTTAGTGTAATTAAGATGAAGAAAAAAATGTTTTGTTTTGTTTTTACCATTACATATTATTATTTTTCAATGCTTTTCTAGTTCATTGATTCAAAGAGGCTGTTACTTCTAGAGACTACAGTAGTTGGGGCTCCTAAAGTTCTGTGTCAGGAATGAGAAAGGCTAGCTGTTGGTCTTCATGAGGCCACATTTTTATACTCTGTAATGTCTTTTTCCTGTGTTGACAAGAAGGGTCATAGAAAAATAAATACCTCTTGAGGCAGAGTGAAGAGCTACGGGGAGGGGTGCAGGGCTTAGACAACAATAACAAACTGCAAACATTGGAAAGCTACTGACAGAGATCTGGAGTCTAATCAACCAACTGGCCAAACCCATAGAATGTAGGAACTTCCAGGCCTTCTATTTAGCAGTTGAGAAGTATTATGAGACCGTGACTGCTGTGCTCACCCTATTCATCCCTTTCCAATGTGAGTGCTTAGTGGGAATTTCATGGACTCATTTAGGCAGTGCAACTAGGTGAGCAGAAAGGAAAGACATACCATTTTTTTCAAGGACCAGGAGATAAGGTTTATAGAGAATATAGAAAGTATAATGAGATCTTAGACTGAATAGCTGACATAATTATAAGGTAAAATGCTTGGTGTACCTTCCTTGGAGAAGAGATTTGTATATTTTGCATCTAGAATGGTGGGGAGCATATTTATGTAGACTAAAAGAGCAGATGATTATAGCACTTAGCTCTTATTGGATAAAAAAATGACCCCAAATTTAGTGGCTTAAACAAAAGCTGTATATTATATTTAGTGATTTTTGAACGAGACTCATCGATGTCAGCTGGATGACTCTTCTTCTTTGGCAAGGGTGGCCAGGGCTGGATTCATTCACATGTCTGGCATTAGCTGGGTCAATGGGGATGACTTGACATCCTGTCTTTCATTTTCCTGCAGGCTAGCCTGTGCATATTATCAAATATAACCCAGCTGTCACAAGTTTCCCAGGGATGTCAGGATAGCAAATCCAAGTACAAGTGATTTATAACTTCAGCTTGTCCATTCTTAATAAACAAAAGATGTCACAAATTTGAGGCTCAAAAGGGGAAGAAACATATACTACCCTTTGATAGCAATGGAGCACAGTGCATTGCAAAATGCATGCATACAAGGATGGGAAGAGTTTGGGGTCATTGTTTAGATTTCATTATTTTTCTTAATTATTGAACATCTCGTTCTATAGTAATAGGATTTTCTGTCACTGCCATTTTTATTGTGACTTGCCAAGAAAACACATAAAAGGAATGTAATTTCTATCTCCAATGATAACGGTGGCCATGCAACTTTCTTTGACCAATAGAATGTGAGCAAATGTTGTCTTTGCTTCAGTAAAAACTTCAACAGCTATGAAACAAATATACCTTTGCTATTGATTTTCTCTTGTCACTAGCACATGTAAAATTAAGGTTATTTCCATAGCTTAAATCCTAGACTGAAGTTACAGAGCAGCATTTCAGCTGGTCTGTGGCATGAATACTAAAATAGACTGTGTTTGAGAAATCCTTGAGTTTTAGTTGTTGTTCCTTGATACTGAACCTGGAGAAATTTGCATTGATTTATTAACTCCTCTATACATATTTAGTATATCGCTTTAAAATGGGCCTTGCCTATTTCTTTTTAAAAATTATTTTAAAATTCTGTTATCTATTTTTGAAATGCTATTGATTCTATTCTCTTCCATCCCTGACCCTGTATTCTTCTATCCATAAGGGGATTTTTTTTAAAAAGGAGCTATTCATGACTTGGATTTCTTAGTAGTCTGTTTCCTCCTAACAGCCCTACAATCAACCTTCCCCCCGATAGCTTTATCAATGCAAGTGTCCAAGTTACCAGTGAACCCCAAGTGGGGTTCCGTCTGAGAAATCTCACATTTCAAACATGTAAGAAACCAGTGAACCCAGTTTAGATTTATTTTCTCCTCTTGATTGGCTATTGTAGGTCTTCTGTGATTTCCATGGTCACTCACAGAAGAAGAATGTGTTCCTTTATGGATGTAGCATGAAAGAAACCTTATGGCAAGCAGGATGCACTGTGGGTGGATCTGCTCTCTTGGAGGATGTCAGCTACAGGGTAAGTCATTATAAAGTATGTTAGAACTACAATCTTACTTTGTAGAGCTGTCTATCATCCACCTTTTTTTTCTAGGCATTGATCTAGACCCTCAGTTCTCACTCATCTTTTTTTCCTCTCAAAATAACTACTTTGATCAATATGACTATAGAGTTATAACATAAGCAGGCTAGAGGTTTGTGTATCTTTTTGACATTTGTGTTGAATTATTTCTTAATACCTGGTAGCTTTGTATGTTATCTTCTCCATGGCCTGATATAGTATAAATGACATGAGATTTGGAGAGAGGAAGACTGATTTGAATGTCTGGCTTTTTAATTATTAGGTTTGTGAGTATGAACCACTAAAATTACCTTCGAAACATCTTTCTACCATAGCAAAATGAAGAAAAACAGTGATTTTTAATTTTTTATGTAGATTATGGGAGGGACACAATCATGCTGAACACAAAAGAACTTTTAGTGGACACAAATGTTAAACAAATTTAAGGCTTTTGTATCCATATTCCTATGTATTAACATTCTATGAAAAGCAGAACACTGAACCTAACTTTTCTTCATGTGGCTTCCAGGGTTATGAGCTGCACTACCCTCACATTAGCTCAGATAGGAGGTAAAAGAAGGAAAAGAAGGAAGAACCATTCCACGTCAGGATAACACAGCTGTTTGTTGAAGTATCAGGAAGAGACGGAATAGGCAAAGATGTCCAAATGAAAGTTAAAAACTAACTTTTGTTTCAAATTTCTGAAGAATAGGATAAAATTATGATGATGACAACTTGCTCTTATAAATATCTTGTTATTCTAAGCTGGGTATGGCAGCACATGCCTTTAATCCCAGTACTCAGGAGATAGTGGCAGGCAGATCTCTGTGAGTTCAAGGCCAGCCTGGTCTACATAGCAAGCTCTAGGCCAACTGAGGCTACAGGGAGGCCCTGCCTCAAAAAGACAAAAACAAACAAACAAACAAACAAATCTCTTATTATTCTGAGTATTCCAATTTACTGTGCACAAAATAGATTTATCTCTAAGGTTAATAATGATATTAAAAGAAAAAAAATGTCCATCAAACTAGGCAAGAATAGTGGTAATTCTAGTATTCAGGAGGCTGAAACAGAAGGATGAGTTCAAGCTCTTGTTAATCAGTTACCCCAAGGTTCTTATAGCAGAATCAGGAGCTTATCTTCAGTAATCTATTAGCTTTAAGGCTTAACCAGATTAACAATGACATATCATCATAAGAATCCTTGTTGCATACTATTATTTAGTAAACAAGTATGTTAGGACATTCTCCTTGGTGCTTATGCCAACCTGTAAAGAACAATTTCTCATGCCCAGTGTGTGTTAGATTTAAAATATACCATTCAGTCTTACATAGTATGAGTTTTCAAATCTTTCCCTTTCCTAGAAAAGGTAAGAATATTTATGGATAATTCTCTACATAGAAACAGAGGCAAGAAAAATCAAACTCTAATAGCACTCCTATACAAAGAGGACATGAAAAATGGCAAAGGCATGGTGGCATCCTGACTGTCTTAGTTACTTTTCCTTTTGTTATGTTAAAACACCCAGACAAAAGTAGCTTAAGAGGGTAAGGGTTTATCTTGACTCTCAGTATAAGGTATAGTCTATCGTGTCAGGGAAGTCAAAGCAGCAAGAGCTTGAAGTGGTTAGTCTTAACACATACACAATCAGGAGAATTATAAATGCTTGTGCTCAGTCCCCCTTTTCCTTTTTATACAGTGCAGAATCCCAATCTAGAGAATGCTGCCAAGCATAGTGAGTGGGTCTTCCCACCTCAGTCATCATCATTAAGATACTGTCATGTCCCAAGGCCATGATCTCATCAAGTTGATAAGTTATACTAGCCATTACAATGACCAATTAATAGAGTGAGTTCTTTCTTCTACATTTCAATTTTAGCATATGGCTTATGGTATTTAGTTAATAAATACAAGAAATATTTTAAGTCCAGTTTAGTGTCAAGGCAAAAGGCATGCTATGACAGAGGCAGATATGCCAGTTTCTGTCTCTCAAAGCAAGCACAGTAGTGTTTGATAGTGATGCTCTTAAATCCTAGTTCATGTGCACACTGACAGTCATCTATGATTCATTATGTGGGATTGTTCTGTGGCCTGAGTCTCAGTTATTTCCTTTGTAAAATGCTAGAGTAAAAGTTTTTAAAAAGTTTATTAATTTGTGTCTGTTGATACTCTCGGGTTCTTCAAAGTTTATTGATAGGCTACTAAGCAAAATGAGTAAGAAGAAAAGTGGGTAATATTTGACCTCTTCTCTAACTTTTAATCCAAAGAGCCTTGATTTACAGTTCTTGGATAATATGTATTTCCTTCTAGCATTGATATTTTAAATCTAGGGTGCAATGATCTACAAATAATGACCATGATCATGGTCTTTTGCCTAAAATGTGCTTTTGGTATGTGCAAATGGATCTTTTCAGAATTGAGAGGGCTTATTTGCTGTATCATGAGAAAATGGAGACCCCCATAGAAAGCTTCTTTGAAAAATAAGGGTTACAGCCCTCACACCTGCCAGGAGTCAATAGCCTGAGAGTGTATTTACATTTCAAATGGAGGAATTCTATCAGAGACTTCCTTGTCCTGTGGTATTATTATCAAAGTGACAGTTATATACCCTATTATACTTCATGTTACAACATTATTCAATTTTATTATCAACTTTATCAGGACTACTTCTGTTTACATTGGTATAAACACGTCAGAGAGTACTTCAAAACACAAGTATCAAAAAGGACAAAATTGACAAAAGTTAGATTTTAAGCCTCTAGATATGGATCAAATATAGACCACAACTGAGAAACACTTAATCTTAAAAACTATTTGAGTTTCATGTAGGAACAATCAGAACCTGGCTTACTTAATATGGGGGCTAGAGAGATGGCTCAGTGGTTAAGAGCACTGGCTAATCTTGCAGAGGACCTGGGTTGGAGTCCCAGCACCTACATGGTGACTAACAACCATCTGTAACTCCAGTTCCAGGGGATCTGATGCCCTCTTCTGACCTCTGTGGGCATTGCACAATATGGTTGCACTTACATGCAGGTAATACATGCATTCACATAAAATAAAATAATAAAATATTTTTTAAAGAGATATATAATTTAGACAAATTCATTCACCTTCCCAGCACCTCCACCCCATCTCCTGTAGCATGAGTATTGGCCCATTTCTTCTCTTGGCACCCCAGACCTCTGGATTATCCTCTTGGCCCAGACTCCCCACCGCTTCCTGATTCTTTGCACCCAGACCAACCCAGTTCCTCAGTCTAGTCCCCTGGAGCCCTCAAAGCCTGTTCCCTCCTCCACCTTGCCTTTATATTTCTGGACCAGCCTTCATCCCTAGATAGCACAACCCCCAACTTCTTTAGGACAGCGTCATTCCTGGGTGGGTTTGACCACATCCACTGTGCCTTGACTCCCACAACCTCATTCATGCTCCCAGCTCTCCACCCCATCTCTCCTATCATGGGGCCTCACACATTTCTTCTCTTGGCACCCCAGACCTCATGTCTACCCTCTTGTCCCAGAATCCCCACTTTTCCTGACCCTTTGCACCCAGACTAACCCAATTCCTGTCTAGTCCCCTAAAGTCCTCAAAGCCTTTTCTCTTCCCTACTTTGCTTTTGCATACCTGAGACCACCCTTCATCACTGGCTGTCCCACCCCAACCTGTATTCCTGAGACCAGCCTCCTTCCCTGCTTGCTCTGGATTCCTGAGACCAGCCTCCTTCCCTGATTGCCTGAGAGTTCTGAATCCTACCTCTACCTAGCAATCCTCCCAAATTGTATGGTGTCTGCTGACTAGAGGGATCCAGACCTTAGGAGAAAGCCGGAGAGCATCTGCTCCTTATCCAACTTGGGCCTCTGTGGGAACTCTTGAGCAGCAGGATGAAAGAAATCTGGCCCCTTGAGTATAAAATCCAAAGAGAGAACCTGAAGCTAGACCAACCAACTTTTCATGCTCAACAAGTAAACCACAACGGCACATAAAGTTTACAAACAGAAGTAGACTTAAACTCAGCAAAGGAAGGCTTGAGTATAACACAAGAATAAGAAACTACAGAAGATATCGATATGTCAAAGTCACAGTGAAAAAACTATTAACATGAAAAACTCAAATAATATATCCCCACCAAGTACCAACAGTCCTCTATAGGAGTACAATGAGAACTCCCTAGAGATAACACAGGACATGGAACTTAAAAGAACAGTAATAAACATGATTGAAGAATAAAGTGATTTTAAAGACTACACAAAAAAGAAATCAAAGAACTGAAAGACGATAAGGATAAAATTCTGAATGAATTCAGAAAAGATTTAGAAATATTGAAGAATACTCAGGTTGAAATGAAGAAGGAAGTGAATTGCTCAGTAAGCCAATTAGAAGCAACAGGAGAAAGCCTCACCAATAGGATAAATGAAATGGAAAACAGAATATCAAGACTGGAAGATAAAGTGGATGAATTAGACGACTCAAGCAAAGATTATAAAAAATTTAAGAAAACACAAAAATGGAATATGTAGGAATTGAGTGATAGTGATATCCT